CTGAGCCAGTAGGCAGCTTCTAAGATGACCCCTGACTTTGTCAATCTGAGCTGGTACAACATATTAACCACGGGCTGCGTTGCTTAAACAACAAACACTTATTTCACCCTGTTCTGGAGGCTGGGAAGTTCCAGATCAGGGTGCTGACGGGTTCTGTGTCTAGTGAAGGTCCTCTTTCTGGTTTGTAGATTGTCCTCTTCTCATTGTATGCTTACATGGCAAAGAGCAGAGAGCATGATCAAGCCTTTCTTTGCAAAAGCATTAATCCCATTCATAAGGGCTCCACCCCCATGACCTAACCACCCCTCCATGAAAGGAGCCGCCTCCATCTCATCATTTATAGGATTTCAACATATAAATTTTGAGTGGATATAAACATTCATTCCATAGCAGTCCCTAAAAATCCTCACCTCCTTTCTGCCTGATATTCAGATCTTCCTGTAAATCTTTTTCCTTGAGTGTGGCTGACCTTAATTAACTCACTTCTAGAGAACAAAATAAGTGGAAGTGATAGAACTTCACTTCCAAGATGAGGCTTTAGGGTGGCACCTGTGGCTCAGTGGGTAAAGGCACTGGCCCCATACACCAAGGCTGGCGGGTTCAAACCCAGCCCTGGCCAAACTGCAACAAAAAAAATAGCCAGGCATTGTGGCAGGCACCTGTAGTCCCTGCTATTTGGGAGACTGAGGCAAGAGAATTGCTTAAGCCCAGGAGTTGGAGGTTGCTGTGAGCTGTGATGCTACTGTACTCTACAGAGGGTGACATAGTGAGACTCTGTCTCTAAAAAAAAAAAAAACAAACACAAGATGTGGTTATAATGAAACTGTGTTGCCCATCTTCTTCCTCTCTTGCTTCCACTCAGCTTTCTTTTCTGAGCTGCCATATGGAAAGGCCCATGTGTTAAGAGACCAAAGTCCTCAGTTGAACAGGAATGGTTCTGTGGGAACAGAATTCTCCCAAGATCCATGTGAGTAAGTCTGAAAGCAAATCCTTCCCCAGTCAACAGTTTGGCTACAATGTGATGAGAAATGATGTGTCAGCTAAGCCCCCAGGTACTAACTCACAGAAATATGTTTAGTTAGTTAAAGCAGCTACATTTGGAATAACCTGCTACAATGCAGCAGTGGGTAACTAATTAACACATCATTCACGGGATTTTTGTTAAGATGTAGGATCTAACGATGATCTTTCTTTTCTTTCTTTTTTTTTT